TGTAATGGTTGTGTGACATAAGAGAAACGCCGTGCAAAATAATTGCTACTTTTACATATTGCTTTTCTACCATTTAAAAAATAATAATAGGAGAGGAGGAGGAGGAGGAAGAGGAAGGAAAGGGTTCACTGCTCACATTTCAATGAAAATGTTGCTGCTTTTCTCCTTTTTTTTCCAAGAATTATGATGATTGTTGTCCATCTTCTCCCTTCTGAGGCATCTGGGGAGCCTTGCCAGAGAGGGGGGGGGGGAGAGGAATTGAAGGATCCTGGAGGGGTCTTTGGCCCCTGAATTGCCCCATTTCTCAATCTCTTCCAGGCCCCAATGAAACAGCCCTGCCCCAAGAAAGCTCCCCCCCCCCAACCACGCTGCCTTTGCATCCAGAGGAGACCCTCCCAGAATTTCCCAGACCAGAAAAAAAAATCCAATTTAAAATAATCAGTGATGCTCTTTGCCAGTCTAGGAGGGGCTGAAAACGTCGACATTTCCTGCTACTTGGGGGGGGGGGGGGTGTTTGTATGTGGGGTGGGCGTGGATGCCAGCTGGAACGTGTCCGGGTGGACAAAAACGCAGTTCCAAAGCTCTGTTCAGCCTTAAAATACGGGGTGGCCTCAGGCTGGTCACTCTCTTGCTCTTAGCCTAACCTACCTCGCAGGGTTGTTGGGAGGAGAGAACCGCTTGGTGCGTCTATCCTTCAGAGGGAGGAGAATGGACCCTCCGAAAATTGGCCTCTTTCCCCTGGCAAGGTGGGCGCTTCTCTGGATGAAGGCTGCTGAACCCTCAAGGCAGTAAAGCACAGGGAGTCCTCGACTTACAACAGTTCATTTAGTGACCATTCGTAGTTACACCGACACTGAAAAAAGTTATCCTTATGACCATTTTCTACACAGAACAACTTCTGTAGCCTCCCCACAGTCATGTGACCAAGATTCAGACCCTTGGCAACTGGTTCCTACTTAACGACCGTTGCAGTGTTCCCCCATAGTCACGCGATTCACATTCGGATGCTTGACAGCTGACTCACAATTGTGACGGTCTCAGTGTCCCCGGGGGTCGCATGACCCCTTTTGGCGATCTTCCGGCCAGGAAGCCACCGTCACTTAACAAGCGTGTAACTAACTTATCAACTGCAGAGATTCATTTAACAAGGGAAAGGTCATAAGATGGGGCCAAAACCCACTTAACAACTGTCTCATTTAACAACAAAAATTGGGGGCTCAATTGTGTTGGTGAGGCCTGACCTGTAGATCTTTTCCCGAAAGGAATGGTCCATACGAGCAGCAATAGACACATATCACTATAAGTATATAAATATATATAGACAAAGGTACGGTACCGAGCCAAGTCATGGCCCATCCCAGGGGTCCCCCCTCCATCTTCCACCCTGTCCAGTCCTGGGTTCAAGTCCCACTGTTGCTTCTGAAGGATCATTTCCAGCTAAACATCTGGGTTGAAAAACCTAAACCTGTTTCTTCTTTTTTTTTTAAAGGGGGGGGGGAGGCGAGGAAACGAATTCCCTTGGCTTGATCAGAATGGTATTTTTAAAAAAATCTCCCTCTATATATATATTTGTGAGCTCTCCCTCCCCGTCTTGTTTGCTAAACTTTCTTTACAGGTTTTGGACATTAGAAAAAGAAAAGCTTATTTTAGCAGGGCCTTTCGGGGAGGAAAAGTACTTGTGGGTGGGGGAGGCGGGCTGTCGAGGGGCCGAACGGGACCAGCTGCCCTTTTTTCTTTCCAATGGCCCTCCTCCCCTCCTTTCTGCGAAAGCGAGGCCCTGGCGCCAGCAGCCTACGATGCCAAGCGGGGGAAAAAACGGTCTGAAGTGGTCGCCACGCCACTCTGTATGTAGATATATATATTGACTTTGTATTAAAGGAAAGATTGTCTGGAAAAGAAAAAAAAGAAAAACCACAAGGTGTTGGAAAAGGTGTTTATTTTGGGGTGGGTGAAAGGGGGCTGGGAGGGAGAGAGGGAGAAGGATGTGCCAAATTGCAACCACGGGCAAAAAAATATTCCAAGCGGTCAGCCAGACCACACTGGTCCTAGAATTGGGCAGAAACGTCCTTGCAACACTTCTTCCGTTGCTAAAACGGGGAATTTGCTCGGGGGTCTCTGGGATTGCCGGAGCCCCTTGCAGAGAACGAGCAGGGTGGTTCCTTTCTCTGCCTGTGCCCCCCACTCCCACAAGCCAATTTGAGATTTTGCTGGCCTTTGTCTCAGGATGTGACGTTCTTCGTAAGTTGAGGTCCACGGCTGATCTACGAAACCTCTTGAGCCTCTCTGAACAAGCTTCCGCTCACCCCCTTGCCCACAGCCTCCGGACCCCCAGCTATGGGAATTCACCCGTTTGCCAGGAGGCCTTCCAACTCTAAATGTACCAAAAGGAACCTCTGGTTGTATAATATGCGTAAATTCCAAAAGAGGTGTGACCAGGATTTGCTCTAATCCTGGGATAACATGTGGTGTGAAGGCATCTGACCTGATCAAATGGAAAGCTCGGCAGTAACTCTTTGTGGACTAGCGTCAACCTCAGCAACTTTTAAGAGCACAGACCCCCATCTCCCAGAATTCCCCAGCTGGCGTACTTCAAGGTAGGTGGACTCCACCTCCCAGAATTCCCCAGCCAGTATGATTTAATTTAATTGAAGTCCAATTCCCAGAATCCCCCAGCCTATAACCTTGAAGATAGATAGGTGGAGTTCAATTCCTGGAATACCCCAGCTAGCTTGGTTTAAAAAATCTGGACTCCAACTCCCAGAATTCCCCAGCCAACGAACCTTGAAGATAGATAGGTGGGCTTCCATTCCCAGAATTCCCCAGCCGGCATGGATTTAAAAAGCTGGACTCCAACTCCTAGAATTCCCCAGCCAACAAAACTTGAAGATAGATAGGTGGACTTCAATTCCCAGAATTCCCCAGCCAGCATGGTTTAAAATAGCTGGGCTCCAACTCCCAGAATTCCCCTGCCAACAACGGGTAGACTCCAACTCCCAGAATTCCCCCAGCCAGCATGCTGGCTGAGGGAATTCTGGAAGTTGAAGTCCACCCATCTTAAAATGGCAGAGGTTGAAAAAGATTGCCCTATAGGTTTGTGCCCCGTGCTCTGCTCAAACGTTGTGGTGCCAATATTGAATATAACATCAAATTCTTTTTGCCAGCGAACCTCGAATTACTCACTGCCAAAGTGGGCAGATTTATAATCTGACAGATCTAACAATCTGATTTTCATCCAGGTTGGGAACTCCGTCTGAATGCAACCTATGTCAAAAACCTGGATTTAACAGGGCCTTCTGGCCCAGCCAGCCTGTTTGAGCTCTGCAAACAGTTCAAATAAATTTATTTTAATCCCCCAAAAGGGACCAAGGGCTGTTGCAATCCCATCTTCCCTGGCTTTTATTTCCACCGTAACTGGAAAATGCGCGAAGGCATAATGTCAAGTTCCCCAAACGGTATATTATTTTCCAGAAATTGGGACAGGGCCAAAGCAAGGAAGCATCAAATTCTCCAGGCTGTAAATTGTATTCCGGATAGTAAAATACAATTTTTTAGTATCAAAACTAATCATCCTGTGGATTAAAAACCAAAACAAAACATCCTTCGTACTGCTGATACTAATAATGGCTTACTATATAGGTAGTCCTCAACTTACGACCGCTTGCTTACTTCTGGTTTCCAGCAAGCCTTGTCCAGATAGTCCTCAACTTACAACAGTTCATTTAGTGACCGTTCAAAGTTAAAACAGCACTGAAAAAAAGTGACCTGGGACCATTTTTCAGAGTTACGACGACCATTGAAGCATCCCCAGGATCTCGTGATCAAAATTTGGGTGTCTGGAAACTGGTTCATACTGACGACCGTCGCTGTGTCCCAAGGTCCTGTGAACTTAGCTGAAAGTCAGACAGACACACTGACGGCTCCCCATCTGCACCTCTCCTTGCAATGCCATCTACATCCAGGGTTGGGATTCTACAGGTTCGGATTGGTTCGGGCGAACCTGTCAGAACCTCTCCATTAGATAATTAGGAAAGAAAGACCACGAGACTCCATGAGTAGAAATCAAGTGTACTTTTACTAATTATAAATGATTAAAGGCATAGCGAAGCGAAGTCTGATTATTTAGGCACGAAAGCGATTGATATATAGAATAGCCCATTCCCCACNGTCTGAAACGGTTTAGGGTTTCCTGCCTAGGCAGGGGGTTGGACTAGAAGACCTCCAAGGTCCCTTCCAACTCTGCTATTGTATTGTATTGACCAGCTAACCTAAACAAAGTGATGCTGGGCAGCTTACAAGTGAAAACAAACCAAGGTTAAAGCAACAGTCAATAATATCAGCAATGGGTCAGCTGGCTCACCGTTTTCTGATGAGTGCTTGGCTTATCCTGATTCCAACACGGAGGAATAACCAAGTTTTTAAAACATTTCTAAATGCCAGAAAAATCAGGGCATGTTTTTGTTTTGTGGATGGAGCCAATAAACGTTCTTGGATGAGGCCTGAGATTAACACCCCACCACCACAAATAAACTTTATTCCTACTGGAGAAGCAAAAACCACACGATCGACAGAAGTCTCCAGTACAGGTAATCCTCGACTTACGGCCACAATTGGGACCAGAATTTCCATCGCTATGTAAGGCAGTTGCTAAGTGAGCCATGCTCGATATTGTGACCTCTTTTGCCGTTGCTATAAAGCAAATTGCCTCAGTTGTTAAGTGAAACACACAGTCGCTAAGGGAATCCAGTGTCCTCCACTGAGTTTTCCTGTCGGAAGCTGTCTGGGAAAGGTTGCAAGTGGGGATCCCATGAATTTGGGACGCTGCAACTGTCATAAATACAGGGTTGCCAAGTGTCCAAATTTTGATGATGTGTCTGTGGGGATCCTGTGACGGTCACAAATGTGAAGACCAGGCGTAAGTAAGTCATTTTTTTTCAGGGCCATGGTAACTTTGAACACCTGTTTTTACACCTTCAATTCTTTTTTCTTATTATCATTTCCAGGATGGCCAGTCTAGAACCGTGCGCCAGTTCCAGTTCACCGACTGGCCGGAACAAGGTGTGCCAAAATCCGGCGAAGGCTTTATCGATTTCATTGGGCAGGTGCACAAAACTAAGGAGCAGTTTGGACAAGACGGACCGATTTCCGTCCACTGCAGGTACATACAGCCAAGAAGAGACTGGGCTGCTATCTGTCAAAAATGGTGTAGGGTCTGCTTGGGCTGGGGGTTGGACTAGATGACCTACAAGGTCCCTTCCAACGCTGTGAATCTGTAAACTATTTTAATAGGGGAGCTGCCAATCCACTTGCTCTTTCAAATCTTGTTTAATCGTGAATTTAATTTTTGTCTTTCATTGTACCACATGTAAATTGTTTATGCCAATTATTTAATGCCAGTATTTTATTGGAATCATCAGGAGCAGAAAATATTTGTAAATCTGTAAACTTTCCCAAAACACCGAAGGTTTTCCTACCCGCTAAAGGAAAAGAAATCTATCTTTTCGGGATTTTTTGGGTCTTTATACCTGTCTGGCTCATTGACACAGACAGTCCATGATTTATGATCGCATTTAAACCCAAAATTTCCATGGCTAAGCAAGTGTTAAAGCGAGTTTTGCACCGTTTTACAACCTTTCTTACCACAGCTGTTAAGTGAATCACCGCAGATGTTAAGTCGGCAACACAGTTGTTAAGCGAATCCGGCTTCCCCATTGACTTTGATCGTCAGAAGGTCGCAAAAGGGGATTACGTGCAACCGTCATAAATATGAGCCAGCTGCCAGATGGTCCAAACTGGGCCATTCCCACTGCAGAAAAGCTGAACCTCCTTTCCAAAGCAGCCTTCTCTCAACGGGGAATTTCATGTTGCACAACAGGCATTGCTGACCTCTTTACCGCTCTCCATGCACGCAGATCGCCAGTCCCCGAGAGTTTCACTATTCCCCTTCCCTGGAGCTAAAATTACATCGTTGGGCTGTTCTGCTCTGCTCTGCTCCTTCACTTCCCCTCCGCCCACTTCCCCTAAAACATAAATGATTGAGCCCTGATTTCCAGCTCACCTGCGGATGCGCAAAGGAGCCCTTCCTCCATCAGTTTCCTTTCCCTGCCAGTCTTGTTAATTGAGAAAGGATTTCTTTGTAGAACGGAGAGGAACTAACTGGCTAAATAGCCCATTCAATGGTTAGATGTTGACCTCCTGGTAAATTGCAAAGCTTTAAATTCTGTTTTCTGCAGCTCTGGGGAATAAGAGATTAGAGCGGACTGTTGTTTGCCGATCGAGGAGAATTGATAGCTCAGGCCTGAACTGTAGGGATCTTTGGTGCTGTCTGAACTTAGTTATTTTCTTGTAGATGTTTGCCCAAATAGGTAGCATCATCAGTGCTACAAGGGTGGGGTACAGAAGAGCAGGAAGAAGAGGAGGAGGACTGTGGGGTGATTGGTGCCCTCTGAGCTTGGTGCTCTTTTTTTGAAGATGCTTCATCACCCAATTAGGTGATATCATCTTTGCTAGAAGGGGTTGGGGTTTGTGGAGAGGAGGAAGACTGTGGCATCCTTGGTGCTTGCTAGTTTTCTTGCAGATGTTCCATTACCCAACTAGGTAGCATCATCAGCGCTAGAGGGGAGTGATCAGATCACATTGGTCTCTGTTCATCTTTCTACTCCAAACTACTCAGAAAAGAATCTTGGGAACACAGAACCCATCCACCTTTTTTCCTAAGATACCCCAAAAGATGGGGAGCCATCCCAGCTTCCAGACGATAAAATCCCCCAGACATTGCTTGATAATCTGTGGATCGGTGATTACGCATCTTACGCATCGGCAGGCAGACTAAAGACCCTCTGCCTGGGGGCTCGTGGGATTCCACCTTGGCACTGAGAGATCTGTCTCGTGGGTGGGGGCACCCCATCTCCTTCCTTACCTCTGATTCTGACTGGCTAAAGCCGAAGGGATCTTGCAAATCCAGCCAAGGACCTGGCATGGGGGTCAATTGACAAGCTGCCGTAGCTCCTACACACAGGTTTGCAGGTCGGCCTCCTCTGATTCACTCGCGATTCTTTTTGAGGCCAGCTGCTTTTTCTTGGCATCCCCTGCCTCAATTTGGGAGGGGGACAGAGGACGCTGATCGCGTAGGCAGTAGCATACACAACTGCTTCCCAAAAGCTTTCCTGGCAAAGAGTTGGAGACCCTTTTTGCATGTATTGATTTATTAAATTTAGATTCCAACCATCTCCTTCTGAAAAGCTACTGTGGGCATCTTTAAGGTGCCCACAGTAGCAGGTGGCGCAGTGGTTAAATGCAGCACTGCAGGCTACTGCTAGATAGCAATAGCAATAGCAGTAGACTTATATACCGCTTCATAGGCCTTTCAGGCCTCTCTAAGCGGTTTACAGAGA